GACTTCGGACGAATTCGTCGTAAAACGAGTCTTAGATAAATTGTCGAACTTGAATAATCGCTGTTTTAGTGTTGGAATTATTAAAAATTATGTACTGCTCGGACTTCATTGAAATTTTGAAGGTCATGTCTTCTGTTGGACATCTGGCTCGTGTAATAAATAAAAATTATGTCGTAATTTTCCAAGGTCTATAGCTATTTTAAATAAATAAAGTAATTTCTGGTCAGAAACAAGTTAAATGCATAATAAATTGGTCCGTGCTTCAATTGTGCTGAAATTTGAGTATGTAATGCCTCGGTTATGTTTGTATGCTGTGTAAAATTTTTAAAAGTTTTTGGTCTAAGCTTAATAGGGTAAATGATTTATTTTCTGATTCTGCAGAAAGTTGTTTTATTTATGATAAATTGGTTAGTTGTTGAAAAATTCTTAAACTTGGCCGTACAACTTGTTTTATGTCTTGTTTCATGATTTGAAAAGATGAGAATTTTTGGAATTCAATTTAATTTGATTTTAATTGAAATTCTATAACTGCTGAAAATTGTAGGAATTTTTAAAATTCGTACAGATAATATCCATGGCTGAAATTTTGATATGTTGTCACTCTCATGCTGCAGTCTTTGGTGTAAAACTATCCGGTCATGATTTGTTCATTAGGTTTAGATGTAAATTTATGTTCGTTTTTGCTGTTATCTTGTATGAATTTTATAAAATAGCACACTTTGAGTTTGGGGCTAAAAATTGGTGCTATTGCTAAATTTCGGGAGGCGAAATTTTGGTTAAAATTTCAGAGTTAAACTCATTTGATAACCTGACCATCTTATTTTGTAAAATCTAGTATTTTCAAATATATGGCTTTTGCAACAAAAACGGTAAATCGACACTCCTTCCATTCCTTTAAGTGTTTGACTTGGTTAATCTTCGTTTTGGATTATGTGAACTCCCATGTATATTTGGTTGAGTCTTATTTTCGAGTCTAAGTGTTCCAACGTCCACAGGATTTCACGAACAACTTAGTCATCAAGTTCGGCTAAGAATAATTGTGATTTCCGTTTAAGTCAGAATAGATGTTGATTATAACATTTGGACTTAATGTAGGTGTTTGAGGAGTCAAGTCCTTGACCTACTGACTTGTTTGTGTGCCTTTTCAAATTACTAGGTGGGTTGTTATTCTAAAATTTTCTATGCAATAAATTGTTGCTTTACGTATGTATGATCAAAGTATGCATGTGAACAATGTAGCCTTCGATGCGAGTTATACCGACCGTCGAACGGTTATCCCCGTAGCTATAGAATGTACCCATTGTGTAATCTCCTTTGAGGATTTACTCCTACTGGCTTGGGCGCCGTTAGAAGCCCGAGGGGCATTCGGTATTTTACCCCGCAGTAGTCTATGCGTAGGTGTGCACATGAGTCTTGATTTTATGACGATATTATGATGACAGGAGATTGGGATATTAAATTGATTCTTATTCATGCTGAGATCATACTATTGATTAATTTGATTAATGTTTACTGCATAGTGATGAGCACTACTTTTTCCAACTGTGCTCATCCCCACTTGAAATTCACGTTTCAGGTTAAGCGAGATAGGCACGATGGCGAAGTAGAGCGAGTGGTGGTCGGTCTATAAGACCGGTCTTATTATTTGTTATGCTTCCGCATTCATGAACTGGATTTTATGACTATGAACTTGGAGTATTATTGCATTTATGAATTCTGGATTTTTTGACTTGAATAATATTAAGGAGATGCTCCTTAGATAATGTTGGAACCCGGTTTGGGTGATTTATTAATTTTTGGAAAACCCGTTTTGAGAGTTAGTAATATTGTTGATGATTGATGATTGACTTTGAAATAAATAAGCAACGCCTTAAATATGTTTGAATTAAATTTTGAAAAAATTTATTCTGATTTTTCGGAAAGTTTGAAATTTCTTTAAAATCAAAGTGGGGCGTTACAGATGCCCATCATGTCGACATAGATATGGCCATCCATGGAGCGCTCTGGCCGTAGTATTCTCCATCGGCAGAGTCATGCTTCTAGCCAACAACCGCCGCACTGGCCTAGATCCAACTGTATTCAGCTCAATCGAGCATTCGTCTTCTCCGCCGCATCCGGCCACCTCGCCGCCATCTCCACTCAATCTGAGTCTGGCGAGAAACAAAAAACAAAATTGGCCTGAAGCTGAAGGAGTCGGGGATAGTGCTTGTGAAGAGATGACAGTGGCTGCAGTGGCGATGCCGGACACGCGTGAGGGTGGCTGCAGTGGGCGATATAATTTTCAGGGGCTGAGGAGATGTATTTGGCTTG